CTGTCTGTCTTAGTCACTATTCTATTACTGTAAGAAGCCATCATGACCACAGCAACCCTTGTACAAGAAACCATTTAACTAGAGGCTTCTTTATAGTATCAGAGGGTTAGTTTATCATCATCATCATAGTTGGGAGTATGGTGGCACACATGCAGGCATAGGCCTGGAGCTGAGAGCTTTACATCCTGATTCACAGGCAGTAGGTAGAGAACCTGAGCTGGGCATGGACTTTTGAAAGTTAAAAGCCTATCCTCAATGATGTACTTCCTCCAATAAGTCCACACCTACTAATTCTTCTAATCCTCAAACAATGCCCCTCTCTGATGACTAAGCATTCAAATATATGAGCCTATGAGGGCCATTGTTATTCAAACCACCAAACTGTTAATTTTCTATTTTTAATTCTTAATTCAGATGAGTTAAGAAGTCTATAAAGTTGCTTGAAAAATGGCAGGCCTTGTGACAACAGCTATTTGAGACAGAAGGATCAACACAAGTCTGTAGCTGGCCTGGGCTACAGGATGAGATTCTGTCTTAAAACAAATAACAACAAAACCAAACCCTCATAAATCCAGTACTTGGGGAGGGGTGCAGGAGAACTAGGAGTTCCAGGCCATCCTGTTCTACATATTAAGTTAGAAGCTAGCTGGGACTATTTGAAACCATGTCCCAATAAATCAAACCAAACCAACAGCACACATTCTCTGAAGATATCATCTGGGTCCCATAATGTGAAATTGAACTCAATTGGACCTCAAAACGATTTTCACTTCCCCCACCCCACCATTTAATCTACCTTTGCTGTGTTTGTCACTGATGTCTTTTAGCATCTGATAATGCCTCATATGCCTCAGCTACTTGCTTGCATTTTCTCTCTATTTTTTTCTTTATTCTTGCTATTTTTTTTTAATCTGGATATGACTTTTAGTGCCAATTTCTTTTTCTTTCTTTTTCTCTTCTTCTTCTTCTTCTTCTTCTTCTTCTTCTTCTTCTTCTTCTTCTCCTTTTTTGCTACTTGAAGGGAACTTTACATTTTTTAAAATAATTTATTTATTTTTTTCAAATCATAATTTTTACTCATTCACACAAGGGTTATAAACACAAAAAGGTAGGACATGGGGAAGTGAATGACACTGGAGTGTGGGTCGTCAGGGGGAATACAGATATCTTCAGAACCGGGTGGCTGAAGGTTCAGGGGACAAGTCACCATGACTCTGCTTGTCCCCATCTAAGCTGGTATTGTCTGCCAAGGCTATCTATTTACAAGGTCCTTGACCACTCAGGCTTATAAATTTCCACAAAAGCTACCTGTTGACATTAGCTTATAGCCATCTGTTTCAATGTTTTTCCACTGAGACCCAAGACTTGGTGTTAGTATACATGTATGACAGTCCTATTGCTGATTTTAGGCCTATGACTGATTTTAGGCCTACAGTGTGTAAGCAGGGCCGCCCCTGACATCTCTTCCCTTCTCTAAGTATAGAAGGGCTGTGGCGATTCTAATCTTGCGAAGGCGGGGATAGAGGCCTGACCTCCAGTAATTGGAGGGGACCTTGTAATTGGTGCCAATTTCTAATATGGATATATATTTTACCTGAGCCAGGGTGTCATGTATCGCAGGCCAAACCTTAAACTCATTACATAGTTGAGGGTAACCTTCAACTTCTCAGCCTCCTGTCTCCCAGGGGGCATCTGTGTTTGTCTGTTTATTTCAGTTGTGGGGATAAAACCTATGGTCTTGTATGTACTGGTCAGACAGTATACATCTGAGAAACATCCTTAGCCCAGGCCATGACTTCTTGCATCCTCAGATTGCATAGGAAGAAAGCAGTTTCTGGAGACTCATTTATAATGATATTAATCTCACTAAGGTAATACCTACAACATCCACAGGTTTCACTTCCTTATCACATCTCATTGGTAATGTTCTTCTGATTTATAATCTTGTACTGCCGGGCAGTGATGGTGCACACCTTTAATCCCAGCACTTGGGAGGCAGAGACAGGCAGATTTCTGAGTTCAAGGCCAGCCTGGTCTACAGAGTGAATTCTAGGACAGCCAGGGCTACACCGAGAAACCCTGTCTCGAAAAAACCCAAAAAAAAAAAAATCTTGTACTTATTGCTAATTTATATGCAGGAGTAGACTGGAAAGTACTAAGAATCTTATAATTAGGTTGATGTTCTCCAAGTGGTATTGTAGGTAATCTTATTTCTATGACATCATATTTTGAGTGGAGACATTATTTTGCCTTCCACTGAGATATGGTAGCCTCTTAAATTCTCCAGCATAGAGATATGAGATGCAATGAGCCTCACCCCCAAATAAACACACACTCATGGGTGCAGAAATAGGCAAGAAAGTAACTAGTCTAAGTATATATCCAGTGGAACAAAATTCAAAACGCATCATGTTGTTCAAGTCTCTATAGCAATATGAAAAAATCATTATCGTTTTTGTTAAGATAGCAAGTAAATGAAGTTCTTGATGAGTGGTTACATGTGAGGGGCTGGCAAGATGGCTTAGTGGGTAAGGACACGTGCCTCCAAGCCTAACCACTTGCATTCCATCCTCAGAACCCACAGTGAGAATAAATTCCTTAAATTGATTTTTGACATCTTCATGCACAAGTGCAGAAATATGCATGCACACACACACTGAATAAATGAATCAATGTAAAGAAAAACTTGGCCGGATGGTGGTGGCACACACCTTTAATCCCAGCACTTGGGAGGCAGAGACAGGTGGATTTCTGAGTTCGAGGCCGGCCTGGTCTACAGAGTGAGTTCCAGGACAGCCAGAGCTACACAGAGAAACCCTGTCTCAAAAAACCAAAGAGAGAGAGAGAGAGAGAGAGAGAGAGAGAGAGAGAGAGAGAG